TGGATGAGAGGCTGGTTTGGTGAAAAATTTGCGCGTTCAGGCCAGGGTTTGACTTCGTGTGGACGGGGCCTAAATCATTGCAGTCAGTTCATCCAGATTATCATCCTGCCTTCCAATATTATTCCTGTCGGAGCCGCTCAGACCCCCACATACCGGCGGTGCGCTGTCAGTAGGATCCCATTCAACAGCAGCCTCTGGCCGGGTTGCCTCCTCGCGGTTCGCCGCGGCGGCTGGTAGGTGTTTTTTATCTAAATAATCCAACCTGCCGCACCAGAATAATGAAAGGGAACATATTCTGTCGGCAGATTTCTGCATTTTAAGTTAATTTATGCGTCAATAAACTGTTTCAGAGGAGTGATCATAGCGCTCTGTGTCATCAGCGATGTGTCTGTCTTCCTGCCAGCTCCCAGATCAGCTTCTCTGATTGGTTGATGCGGCGCGTCCAGCAGCTAAAGTTAAATTTTTCCATCTCGAGCAGCAGCGTGTTTGCGGCGCGTCAGATGCTTAAACGCTCCCGACGCGCTGCGGGACCTTTGCTTCTGCCGCGCCTGCAGCGTCCAAACGTAGCATTATAGCTGTCTGTTAGTAGCTAACTGATGTTTTGTAATTCTATCTGTTTAACAAAGCCGTTGTGTCACGTGACCAAATGAGCTCATTTCATTGGCTAGAAGCTGCTCGACTCTATCGAGTGTAGATTGCTTTGGCTTGAGTTCACCAAAAGGTCAACACTTTTGCGGCTGAATTCTTTTCTGGTGAATTTTTACCAGATAAAAAGTGAGTGTAAGGAATTTAATGTCTAAAAGAATTCAGTGTTTAAAATTCTGTGTTAAAAAAAAGGCTGATTCCAATGTTTTTCTTCCATATGTTTTGGCTTAGAAAACATGCAAATTGAACCAGATTTACTCCCCATTCACCTGTTTCATCAGTGGTTCTAACTCATCTTTTACTCACATTTAGTTTATAACACAATGAGCTGATTTCATTGGCTAGAAGCTGCTCTGCTGCATCGAGTGGCGACTGCTTTGCCTTCAGCTCACCAAAAGGTCGACACATTGGCAGGCAAATGTTTTGCAGCTGAATTTTTTGCAGGAAAATTTTTACCAGATAACAATTCAGTGTAAGGAATTCAATGTGTTATTAAAAATTAAATTCAATTCAATTGTTTAAAATCCAGTGTATAAAAAAGGCAGATTCCAATGAGACTGTTTTTCTTCCATAAAACAAATTCTCTATCTCTGCTATTTTGTTATTTTTGTTTAAGAAAAATAGTCTTTAGACAAGAACAAAATCTATGGAACTAAAGGAGAATGAATGTATTTAACTCTTAACGCTTTAGATGCATCATAAATCTATATAATAATCCCATATCTAGTATGAATCCCTCTTATTCTGATCTATTTTATGATGATTTATGGACAGTTGCTCCAACATTTGTTCTTTTTTTCTGCAGAAATGTGGACTGTGTCAAACTGCTGCTGAGCAGCGGCGGAGAACACAACCGGAGAGACAAATGTGGCAGGTAGGAAACGCCGTCCTGATCCGAAGGACTTTCGTCTTTCCTTCCTTTTCTCCTGGAGTCCCGCTGAATCGGATTGTCTGCTCTCGTGTCCCTCAGGACTCCCCTTCATTACGCCGCCGCCAGCCGCCACTTCCAGTGTCTGGAGACGCTGGTGGCGTGCGGCATTGACATCAATGCCATGGATCAGTGGGGGCGCTCCGCTCTGCATTACGCCGCCGCCTCAGACCTGGACAGGAGGTGAGATAGACTACGGCTGTTTCAGGAAACGTCGACTCAGATAAGACCAGGAATACGAGTTCTGCTTCACTTCGCTCTCAGTTACACTTTTTAATACTAATATGAAAAGGTATAATGTTACTAAAAAGAGAGGAACATGGTCGGAGCTAAGCAGCATGCTATCCATGTTTGGGAAAAAAAAACCTATCTTTATACCAGAGGTCTGCAGAGCATGTCCAGGATGTGTGGCCTCTGCAAAGACGTTCTCCTGCAGGGATGATCCACTCTGCAGACCTGAAAACTGTGACAGATATTTAGATCCTGTAGTTTAAGAATCCCTTATTTTCTGTTCCTCTTTAAGAAGCAGAAAAGCAGCTTCACTACAGTCTGAGAGTTGGACAAATGTCCAAAGCGTGTGAATAAAAGAAGCTTGCAGATCTTTTCCTGTCGGGCAAACCTGGGGGGAGATGAAGCCTCGGCTTCCAGCAGCACCTTTACAGACCAGCATACCTGTAGTCGACACACCTGAGCAAGATGTCAGATTTGTGTTTATCCCTTTAGTTTTGTATGAAAAATAGACTTTGAACTACCTCAACGGGCGTGTACACTGCAAAAACAAGCAAGAAATAAGTAAAAATGTCTGAAATTAATTGTATTTAGCCTCAATTTGAGCTGTTAAATGAGATAATTTGCCAATATAATTAGATAATATGCTCTTGAAATAAGACAATGCAGTTTTATTTTTCTTATTTTAAATGTAAATTGTCTTGTTTGATTAGCAAAGCATCTCACTTACCTCCTCAATTCAAGACGAAAAGCACTTATTTTAAGAAAAAAATACTTATTGGGATTGACATTTTTTGCAGTGTATCCCTTTAGTAAAAAAACAAATTTAAGGTCGGATCGCCATACGCTTCAAAAAACACCAAAAAGTAAGTAATTAAATTGTTTTTTTTTGTACATGACTAAAGGGATAAACAGGAATTAAAGGGGAATTTGGTTTTTTTATACATCTTTTTACATTTTACATGACGTCATAAACACTCCGCTTTATTTTTAAAACATATAAATATAAAAAAT